TGTGTGATCATATGACTTGTATGTTTACAATCATATACAAAACTGCGTACATACCGGTAGTCATGCTCATTACCCTGTGTATCACCTCTAACTTGGTTTATTTCTAAATGTATGTTTCAAATTCTCACCATTTTTAGTTTATTTACAATTTTCTTGATACCTTGTTATCCACTCACCCTCTACAGTTTTAAAAAACTGATCAGCTCCCCTTGTACCAAATGGTGCATGCAAACTTTTTTTCTAGCAAAGGACTAACTACAGTGCTATGGTCATACACAGACTGGAACCTGGCCCATGTGCAATCCAAATCCTCTGCAAGGCACTAGAACGTTGCACATGGGCATTCCAAGTAAAGGAAGTGTTACTTATGTCACAAGGACGTTTCCTATTTTAAGGCGGGCAGCAGCAGCATCCAGATTGGTTTGGTCATACTGGAAACCGCCACCACGCTTCTCCTAAAGGTAAATGCCAAAACCAACCCCATATTTCTGACCTAGCTCCTCAATGCCTTATTTATACAGATATTATCTATACTATCTTTGTATACTAAATACAGTATATTATCTTTATTTTTTATTTTTTGTACTTCTTTCTTGCACATTCTAACAGACACATACACAATCATTTTGAAAATGTTTTTTTTTTTAATATGATTGTTATTATTATTTATTATAATCACTGTTATTATTATTATTATTCTCATCATTATCATTCTTTTTACTCCATCTTTTATAATGATCAGATTTTATAAATCATTGCTGTCACACAACTTCCTGAAGAAGTGGTGATCTTAGAGCCATGAGACGCGTAGATGTTGTATTATATTCTCTTACAAACATAAGAAAAGCTGGCTGCACTGGAATGGTTTATTGAGGCTTGTACTACCTCACTGGTGTCAAAGCCAATGTCTGCACCCACTGGCGCCTTTCACCTAATCAGGGGCTTAGTTATAGTTAGTATCTCTGCGACTAAGCCCATGAGTTATATACTGTGTGTATGTGTATATATAATTTTATTTCTTTTTATTTATTTATTTTTTACTTATTTAGATATTTATTTTTAATCCTAACTATAATAAATACAGAGAGATGAACAAAACTATTACAGATTCCCTCTATTTTTTTTAAAGTGGAACTGAAAAAGATATGGGCAATTATTGCAGACACTGAGCTTCACATGTGTGGGAGTTATGCCATTCTAACCTGCCCAATCAAGAAGGCCAAAGATCCTTAACCTAGACCGAGTGACAATTTTGGCACCGGCAAGGAGAGGTGAGTTTAGTTCTACTCTAAGCCCCCATCATATCTGCACATTATGGCCACACTTACGTCTTTAAGTGCCCTCCCCCAGCAATGTAAGGTCTACGCTAAGCATCGTTGCTCTACTGCTGCTGCCACCTTCTTCTGCTCCTCTTCCGGAGCCCAGTTGACTCTTTATTGGCAACCCATGGATGATGTAACTCCTGCGCATATGCAAGGGAGTTACTTCGTCCCGACACCCAGCACTCCATAAGACTGCGCATGCACGGCAGTCAGTGAACAATTAGAAAAAAATTGTCACCAGGCAGCCAACAAGCTCTCTCTCTCTCTCTCTCTCTCTCTCTCTCTCTCTCTCTCTCTCTCTCTCTCTCTCTCTCTCTCTCTCTATCTCTGTCTCTCTCTCTCTCTCTCTCTCTCTCTCTCTTTCTCGTCTTCTATCATAAAGACCTATGTGCTAGCAATTTTTGAAAAACTACCTATGTTCCCTTTAAAAAAAAAAAAAAACAGTTGTCAGCTCCCATAACTCCATCGTGACAGGTCACCTTTAAAGGCCTCACCTTCTAGACTATAGCGTTCTCTTTGACGCCAACAAAGCTTCAAGCAGGGAAGGGTTACCCAGCTGTGGAATTCTATCTGCCAGGTAGGGTTATATAAAGTGACAAATGTAATACGTAGCAATGTCACGGTTCCATTCTGAATATATCAGAGGCAGAAACTAATTCCCGACCCCGGTGATGTGTGATAGCGCAATGAAAGGAAGTAATGTATTGCTCCTTGGAGCCGGATCCCATCCAGGCGCACAAAGCCTCTTACACTCGTTCTCCGAGGTGTC